GTGTTTTGCCAAGGGATCATTCTTATGGTCCTTAAATACTTCTAATCCGTCGAGTTCCATGGTTAGTCTATATAAAACCATATTGATCGTAAATTCTCCAAGCATAATGCTAATGTTGACATCAAAGTCCCAATCAGACGTGTCTAAAGAATAGCTTAGGATCAATTGTTGGTCCATTTTGTGAGTAAGCTTTCAAAGAAATATATTCGAGTCCATGCTTGGTTTGATTGATGTTTTTTCCTTTTGGTGCAAAGGGGATTAGTGAAACTTGTGGTCCTTGAACAAAGTTCAAACCTAGTTTTAAGATAAAATTATAACCCATCTTCATTATTATAGGGAGATTGCTAATTGTACCATGAGAACTCAAGTGTTTCTTTGACTTCATCATTTGATACTAGCGAATGTGGTCTTGGTTTGAATTTTCTGAAGATGATCGGATCATGGATGTTCCTTCTAGTAGGAACTGTGAATATGACGTCTTCTATCACTACACCACCTGAAACGCTCTATTCAGTGAGGAACTATGCATAAATTTTACTTACAATGTGGAGAGATTGGTAAGCTTTGCAAAAATATCATTCAGATCGCCTTGGAGTTGATTATGATTGAGATTTCTACAATCATCAATACTTCATATCAGTCCAAATTGTGCAAACTTAATGTACGATAAAGGGAATTGATAACTCATAAGCCAATTACAAGTATTTTAGAGAAACCATCAGCCAGATTGAGTAAGAAATGCCTTGACCGAATGCATTTCCAGCAAGATTTCTACAAATCAATCTCTTGTAAGACATCCACAGCCATATGAAAATCCAAAACCGAGTACATTTTATTATAACTTACGGGCTCTGCAGATTTGGAGGAAGGTTATATAGCATTTCGCTCCAACCTCCAATACATAATCTTACTGCTAGAAGAAGTGTCCTTCTCTCCCTTTCTCGGGCATTCTTAATGGCCTACAAGAAAATTACAAGAGGCCTTGCTTTTTAATATAAAGGCGTAATCAGAGAAAAGCAACAAGCACACGCACACACACAAAAGATACGATATGGCCTTACCTCCTCAAGCTCCTTGCGCTCGGCCTCAACCTCTGAGCTATCTTCTCTATAAAAATCAGCATATTAGAATCATCAGTTTGTCATAGAAATAACAAGATCACTAAACTACAAAAACCAGCATTGAGAACTAACCTCATAAAGAGAAACTTGCTATTTTAAATGGTTTATATCACGATCAACGAACTAATATTATCGAACTTACATGAGAAGGGTATTCATAACTGTTGTTAGCACAAAGACATTTAACAACTTTGATAAGCACGGAAGTTTTTTTTATCGACAAATAGGTGATGTTTGTGCTTCCGTGTGGTGATCTTATTAATGTTGAAGAGTTAACTTGCGAGTTTTGAACGATCTTCTACCAAGATGAACCTCTGAAACATGATTGATATGAAACTACTTGAATGTGAACATAACCGTTGAAATTTTTGAACAGATTGTTTACATTGTAGAAACTTAATTAGCCTTTATACCAAGCCAAAAAATCTGAAAAGCAACAAAGTTTCAGATTATAAATTAGACTTGCATTGTGAAATTAGTTCTTATAATGAGAAGTTTTCACTTTGAATCTCATATGACAAGCTATACTTCCTTTTGTAGTAACAAAACCTGAAGACATTGGTCTTAATAAATTAGCCTTAATGCCTTGAACTTTTCACAAAAGACCTGGAGACATTGGTCTTAACAAATTTCACAAAAAGTGAACAGCATCCAACACAAAATGAAGAAATGGAAGCTAGGTCTTAACAAATGAGAAATCGAACCATTCCCAAAAAAATGAGAACGAAGAAGAATATTCAGTCGAAATGGAAGCTTGGTCTTAACAAAAAGTGACCAACACCTAACACAAAATGAAGAGATATTGTTAACTCATCATACAACTTAGAGAGAATGGAAAAAATGCAATATAAACACAACAAAATTCACAACCATATAACCGAGCACACGATACTCAAACATCCATAACATCATATTTTATAAATAAATAAAAAAACACATACCCTGGTGCCAGCATGATGCTTATCACCGCGAGTTTCAGCGGAGACTGACATCAATGCTCGAGAAGAATCGCACCGCATTCGCATAACTGAAATGGAAACCGTATCACAAAGTATCATTATCAGACCGCTCCTAAAAGCACATGATAGTTACCAAGAACCCATTCAAACAAAAACAAACAATACTCTCAAATTCGACGCCAAATATTTTATTATAACAACTGCTACATCCAGACAAGTTGTGCATATCCTAATATTCAGTCCGCATGGACATGATATAAAAAAGGTATTCACATAAATTGATGTAAAAAGTCTAGAGAATCTAATTTAAAAAAACAAACACCAAAAATTATGGGGACGTGATGAAACAGTGCAAGCCAAGTGTTTGATGAAATGACCGAGAGAAAACAAAGGGATTCGAGATCTTCCTTCCCTTTCTTACTTCGAGATTATAATGATTGCGTTGGGAGAGGAAGACGCCATTGACTCCGCAGCAGCGTCGGAGGAGTGGCGAGCAAAGCCAGTCGGAAAACAGCTGCAAGAGGAGGAGAAGGCCAAATTAAGTGGTGATTAGGTTTTTGATGGAAAGGAGGATTAGGGTTAGGCTTTTCACCGAAAAGGAGGAGGGAGCAACAGAGCTTTGAGTGGTGGCCACAACAATGTCTAATCGATTGGTCGGTCTACTACCGAAGGAGGAGCAGGAGCTCGAATCAGAGGAGCTTGAATCAAGGTTTTTTGGGGAGAGGAGGAGGTGGCGAGAGAGCTCCAACGACGATGACGACGCGAGGAGGAGGGCGGCGATGGTTTTGGCAACGAGAGAGGGAGTGAGGGAGGCCTTGGTTTTGGCGACGAGACAGGGAGGGAGGTGGCGAGAGAGCTCGAACAAGGATGAGAGGAGGAGGGTGGCACCGCTGGCCAGTTTTGGTGAGAGATAGTGAGGGAGGGAGCGAATTACAGAGATCTAAGGGAGAGGGATTGAAATAATTTAGGGGGGGGGATAAAATTTAGGGCTAGCTGTGGGGGCAGGGCTGTTTTAATTTTCAGTCTCCCGCTTAAGTTTTCAACGCATCAGAACAAAAAAAATTGCGATCAAGTACTTATAGCGTTTAAAATTTTTCAAACGCTATCAAAAAATAAGGCCGAAGCAGGCGAGGCGCCAAGTCCTCGAGAGCGGCGCGGATGGAGAGGGCGGCGGTTGTCCCTCTGAATCATGAAATTTGGGAATGAATTGAGGCGGCGATTGGTGATTTTATTTCGGAGTATGAGAATTTAGGCGGGGAAATGAAATTTGGGGATGAAATTTTGGGGGGAAGAACTGAGGGTTTAGTTAGTTTTCAACGGGCCTGTTTTAATTTTCAGTCTCCCGCTTAAGTTTTCAACGCATCAGAACAAAAAAAATTGCGATCAAGTACTTATAGCGTTTAAAATTTTTCAAACGCTATCAAAAAATAAGGCACATACAATCTATAACACTTACAACATAAACGCTATCATTCAACGTTATAAAAAACAATTTTGTTGTAGTGTATGCTGCCTAGCTGATGATGTGTTGAGTAGGACTCATTTATTGGTACATGTAAGGTTGATCCTGGAGATATCCTAAACATCAGAGCATCAGTTTCTATGTTTTCATTTCAAAGCCTGAAAAAATAGTCATAAGCAAACTCTATGTTATCAATAAAACCCATTCACTCTGATTTTCAGCTAACTGGTTTGTACATGAATCCTCCAAAGTAATTACAAGAGGCTCCATTTTAAAAATAGGATCCTCATTTGGATTGGATTCATTATCCTTATCACCCAAAGTAGGATCCTCCAAAGTAACTGGTTTGTCACTATCCTTATCCTCAAGGATAGCAACCTCGATGGCATGCTTCTCATCATATAGGAGGGAATAAGTGATTTAATTTTCTACTCCTTTAAAGTGGTGTTTTTTTAGCTAAAACCCTCTTGAGAGCCTCCTGCTCATCGACATACTTAAAGCATTGATGGAGGGTCGATGGGATAATGGCATTGGAGTGGATTCAACATTATCCAGGAGTAGGTTATAGGGTGTTTCTACGTTAATGACGTAACACATCGCCTCCATCTTCTGATTGTTGATCTAACAATGAAATATCACATCATCTCCATCATCAGATTATCAATCTAACATTTAAGTCTAATATTTTTGAGTGACTGGCTATTGCTAGATTTAAATCCAAAGATAGTAGCAGTCATCATTGAGAGCTTGCAAAGGAGAATATCCAAAGAGCTATGGAGTCTTTGTGGGATAATGCTCAAAGCGGACCCTGGGTCAACATGAATTTACTTAACATTTGTTGATCTGACATACCCAGTGTAATAGAGGTGTTAGTTGTGGTGGTGGTTGTTGATGAGCATGTCACCCGGGATGAAGGTGATGCAAGGCTCCCGCTGATGGCATTAACAACATTACCTTTGATCATCAATGTGTAAAGATTTTAGTACATGAGCAAAAATGCCTCATTATCCATCAACACCTCTCTCAAAACCTCTCTCGTATCCTTTGACGAATATAGAAGTTCATGTAAGGTTATAAGAGCTAGGATATTAGCCAATTGATCCAGTATATCATACTGGAACAATACTTTGAGTCTGGATCATGGTGTATGCCACAGCTTCCGAACCTCATTTCCTTTTGCTTGGCGAGTTTGGGTTGCGTGGAAGGCCCCTATTGATTGTAGTTCTTCAAATAACCCTTACCAGATTTTGTTCCACAAGAGGTTTTTGATCAGGTTGAACCACCATGGCAAGTTTCTCCTCTTCTAAATCTGTGAGGATACTTACAAAGATTCCTCACCTATGATTGCATGGATGGCATTATAGGATCTCATGTTACAATTAGTTTTTACATGGGCCATTGGATTGGAGGATGCCCAATATTCATCATAAAGGAGATCGGGATGGACCTACATCATCTCGTACTTTGCCATCATAAGTGAGACAAAGCCTTGACTCTGTCAACCTTATTGGTCATGGTTGACCAATTCTATTCTTGCAGCGGGAATAGAAATGACTCCATTTTGAGTCTGAATATCTGACATAGAATCAAATTGAAAGGTCACTATGTTAGTAGTGATCTTTTGCTCGGGCTAGAGCTTGAGGATCCCAGAGTCAACGAAGGTCTATATTTTGTCATTAAGGATATAACAACTCTTCATCGGATGTTCTATCATTCTAGGATATAGTCAGCGATTGGGATCATTGGTCTTCCTAACCTCTTCAGGGAATTGAGCCTGAGGAAGCTTCAACTGATTGCCTTTGTTGAGGGCATGAAAGATGGTGACTATATGCTCATCTTTGAAAGAGTAGAATTGTTGGTTACTTTTAGTGACTCCTTTTCGTTGTCAAGTTTCTTGACCTCAACAGTCGATGTTTCCTTAGTTTTTGATTGGGATGACTATCCTTGCCTATTCTTACTCCCTTTATTGTTGATATAGGGGTCGAACATATGCAACATTCTGTAGATTTCTCTGTAATTTCTGCTTGCTCCATCAAAATTTTCCATGAGTTTGCCTTAATAGAACCCATGTGTGCTTCTATGTAGCTTAGAAAATTATGCCTATATATTTCGAGCAACATTGACATTGGCATGTCCTGTCATCACAAACGTAAATTTTAAAACCACTCGATGTAAGCTTTGACCGAGTCAGCGCCCCATCACTTTTTGGAGAGAAGCTTAACCATAGTGACATTTGATTGTTCCTCTTGGAACAAGAAGAGAAATTGATGCTCCAAATTAGTCTTGGATTTCATTAATCCTTCTGCCAAATTTTAGAACCAATCAAAGGCTACCCCCTTAAGTGTGACAATGACCAACCTTGCCTTGATAGCATCATTCCCTGCCATATTACTCATTTGTTGGTTGAACTAGTAAATGTGTTGGTTAGGGAATCATTTGCCATCAAATGTTTGTAACAATGATGGTTTGAACTTTATTAGATAGGAAACTGAGTCTTACTCAATAAGGTATGGTCGGATAATTCTAATCTTCTTCAACTCTATCCACAATGCAAGAGCATTGAGCTGGTTCTGGAGATCTTCAAGGTCCTTTGCCTCATGGCTCACTTTAGGTAGAGCTAACATCTTTGATCCTATGTGGATGGAGTTTGTGTCTTCTTGATGTGATTGCTCTTTCTCCAAAGAGGTTCCCACAAGCGGTCATTTTCCTTTTGAGGAGCATACATGTTGTTATTGGGAAACTACCACAAGATTTTGAAGCATCACTTCAAGACATCCAAAAGGCTTGTCAGATGCTTTCTTTTTGTCTTCCATTTACTAGAGGAGATCATAATGTGCTTCTCTATCTATCATATCTGCCACCCACCCTGCTCATGGCTTGAACTAGAGGTTGCATTTGATGCTATAGCAGCATTAGTATCGCTAGTAAAGGATTGGTCAATTTAAGAATAGGCTTGTGGAGCATGCATCTGGAGGAGAAAATAATCAAAGACAATTGTTACCCCTTGTCTCGACCTAGTATGACGATAAACACCATCAGTTTCTAGAAGTATATTTTTAATACCAGGATAATATTTAGAATTAGAAGGACTATCAGTATCCTCTTCAACATCCTTTGAGATTACACTAGCCATGTTGACCAAAAAATCCTAGAGAGTAGTTTTCACCCTTTAGGGTATGCTAGCGCCTCTTAATCTTAGTCTCTAAAGATTCGGGAACTTGGCTTAGGTGACTGTAATGACCGTAAATTTTTGATATTAATTAAAATAATTTTTTAATATTTTAAAATATTTAATTATTATTTTTAAAAGAGTATTTTTATTTTTCTCAATTTTTTATAATTTTCTATGATTTTATGTCCATGTTTTATATTTATTTAAATAATTTAGATATTTATAAATTTATTTAGTGTAGTTAAAATTTCTAAAATTTATCCGTTGTATTATTGATACTATTACGTATCATTTTAAATAATATGTTGTATTATTATTATTATTACATATTATTTCATATAATATGTTATATTATTAATTACGTATTATTTGTTGTATTATTTCTACTGTTGTATATTATCGGTTATATTAGTACAACTGGTAAATTTTATTGT